GAAATTTTTCTGTTTTATTTTTAGTAATTATATATTAAATAAATCGGAAGGTATTGATTTTATATCAACAATAGACTGGAGACTTGTATTATGTTTACTTGGTACATGGATATTAATTTATATTTGTCTTTTTGGTGGAGTAAAAGTTTCAGGAAAAGTAAGAAAGAAAAAAAACACTAAATAAAGATATACATATATATATATAATTTTAGTTACTTATCTATATGAGTATATCAGAAATTGGAGAACTTATTAAAATCTATAACATGTATATTAATAGAAAAAAAAAGAAGAAATAAATATTGATTGACTATTCTATATAGGCATGCACCGAATCCGAACCTTCGGATTCGCATTCGGTCATTTTCAGTCGATTAATAAAAGAGTGTAGAAGTAAACCAAAAGAGGAAGTTTAACGGTTAGCTCTAGTAAGCCTGTGTATAATAACATAAATGATCTAAAAAAGTGAAACATTAGAGGTATTCGGAAAAAGTTAACGATGTTTCGAAATACCCGAACCCGAACTCCGAGACCGAACCCCGAACGGTAGTTGGAGTTCTGTGTATGTCTAATTCTATATGTAACATCGATCCTTTTTTTTTAATTAGATTGTTTATTTTACATCAGTATTTCCATATGTTATTCTTCTTATACTTGGTATACGTGGTTGGATGTTACCAGGAATGTCAGATGGAATATATTTTTATATGAAACCTGATGTAAGTCGTTTACGTGAAACACGTGTATGGAACGATGCAGCAAATCAAATTTTTTTTATTTTATCTGTTACATATGGTGGTTTAATAACGTTATCTAGTTATAATAAATTTAATCAAAGTACACTTGGGTAAAACAATAATAATTAATAATTTAAAATAAATAAAATAATATATTCTTTTTGTTTTAGAAATACATTACTTGTTTCAGTAGCTAACGTAATAACTTCAATATTTGCTGGTTTTGTTATGTTTGCATATTTGGGTTATTTAGCACATATAACTGGACAAAATGTTACAGATGTTGTATCACAAGGTAAAAAATTTATAATATTTTATATAAAATATATATTTAACATATAGGTCCTGGTCTTGCTTTTATTGTTTATCCATATGCAGTAACTACACTTCCAGTAGCACCATTATGGTCAATTCTTTTCTTTTTTATGCTTATTTTACTTGGCCTTGATTCTGTGGTAAACAAATTATTTTAATATATATTAAATTAAATATATATATATTTATTTTTTTTTCAGTTTGCAGGTATTGAAACAATTGTTGTAACAGTAACAGATCAAATACAGATATTACGTCGATATAATGCATTAGTAACATTTATAGTTTGTACAGTACTGTTTGGACTTGGTTTACTTTTATGTACTAATGTTAGAAGAAAATATTCTATTATTTATATTTATAATTATTTTATTTTTATATTTAATTAGGCTGGATTTTATTGGTTAACATTATTAGATAATTTTACTGGTTCTTATGCAGCATTTATTATTGGTTTATTAGAATGTATATGTATTGCTTATGTTTATGGTTTGTATTTTTTCTTTTTATTAAGTGTAATATATAGGCTTGTGTATAACCTTTTACTACGAAGGAGGGATTAGCGCTACGATTTCAAACAGAATCCATAATAAATTTTATATCAAATTAAAGCGCATCGAATATTGAATTTATTAATATTAAATAGTAAGGATTATAAAAACTTTTTAATATCGAATTTCGGAAATTCGTATTATTCTACGATCTGTCGGCATAGAAAAATTTCTTTCACGATTCAATTCTATTAGGAGTGTAGAAGTGTAGAAATACTCTGAATTCGATTTTAAAAAGTTGTGATAATCCTTACTATTTAATATTGATATAAAATTTTTTATGAATTCTATTAGAAATCATAGTATTACCACCTTAGAAAAACATTTTTATTCACTCTATATTAATTTTGAGAGTTCAACATATTAAGTATTAAACTTGAAATCATATCGTTATCCCTCTAGCAAACGGTTATTCTCAACCCTGTAGAATTAGAATTGCATTCATATAAAGAGGAGATTGAATATTATACGATTGATCTCTTCGATAAAAATCTCTAAATTTCTTTGCTAATTAATGTCTATGACCATATCTTTTTTTTTTCAATAGTTAGTAGTACAATATTTACATATTTTTAATATCCACTCAAATTTATATCTCAAGGTATATTAGTTTAAACATTTGACAATTATTCAAGCTGATTTTTGTTATCAGTTCAGATAGAATTACAATGAAAACAACTATCTGTTTTGTTTTTCATACATGTAGACCATCCAGACATTGTTTTATCTAATAGTAAAAATCGTAGCTTTTCATATTGATTCTAACAAAAGTTATTCACTATTAAAGACTATTAGATGACTTTATGACCATCCTGCACTTAATATTCATTAGATTCAAAGATGTTTTTCATAATTGTTTTTACACGAATATTGTTTGCTTTATCTATTTTAATGATAAAATAATCTCACATTACATTAAATCGTAACGTGAATCATCTTGTTATAGAATAATATCTTCGTATAATTTTCATGATTTTATTTTTTCAACAAGATCATTTTAAAATGCAATAATTTTATCTCATGTATACAAAGATAATTCAGGCTACAATTTCCTATAAGTTGTAATTACATTATTATGAAATTTATGAAAATAGGTCGTATAAAACACAGTGATGAAAAATATCTTTGAATCTAATGAGTGTTATATAGTCATCTATACAAACATAACACGATGATGTTTTTTTTTTACAATTTTTTTTTATCTTTCTTAGCAACTAAAGCATTTAGAAATTTTATTGATTCATCAAAAGATACGTTTCTATACTCTTTTTCAATCCTCAAAACTCTAAACTCATTTGATTTACTTATTTGAAAATTATAGTGTAACGCTACAACAAATAGAAGACAAAAGATTGAAAGTAATGTATTCTGAGAATATATTTCGTATAAGATAAAATGATCTATATTAGACTTATATACAGACGACAGTTTGATGTTACAGAACGGAAATATATAATTTATTCACACAAGATTTCGTTATTATTAACGTAATTCGATGATGAAAATTAGTATTTCAAGCTTCATTATAAACCTCAAACTAAAAGTTATTCAAAAACTGATGATGATCATTTAACTGTAAAATAGATATTTTTAGAAAACTATGAAAGATAAAAATCGTTGTAATTAAAATAATTTTATCGTGTTTTATATTTAAATCGTAGAGAAATTAAATTTCAGAGTTTATTCTATTTCTAGGTAGTAATAATTTTCGTTCGGATATTGAAGCAATGCTTGGTCCAAAAAATTGGGGTGTACGACTTTATGTTATATTTCAAATATGCTGGTCATTTATAACACCATTAGTTATTATTGTATGAAATAAAAAAAAACAAACATCAAATTTATTTTTTTTTAATATTTATTTTTTTGTTTGAAATATCAAGGGATTGATTGTATTTACATCATTAAATTATCCACCACTTGAAGTAGGAAATTATAAATATCCTCGTTGGGCAAATAGTCTTGGTTGGGCTTTAATGGGTTTAATTTTATCTGGATTTGTATTTTATGCAATATATGCTATTATTTATTTTGTAATTATAAAAAAAAATGTAAGAAAATAGAAATTAAAAAAAGAAATAATTTAAGTTTTTATTTTTATTTTTATCAAATTTTAGTCATTTAGAATTTTAATTAATCCACAACCAGATTGGGGACCTTTATTAGAACAAAATCGAAAGAAAGTTAATTATTATTATGGTAAACATGATGGATATCTTGTTAGATTATTTGATAAAATCACAAAAAAAACTTTATCAAAACAAAAATTAGATGGATCAAACGTAAGAATTAATTTTTTTTTCAAACCTCTGGAAAAGACTTTCATATTATAAAAACAGAATATTCTATGTGTATATCTATATCTAACAATTATGATCATTATTGAATGATAATGATCGGTAAAAATATAATTGACTTTATCAGTTTTTCTTTCAGGTCCCTATTATTACTATTTTTAATAGTAAATATTTAAATATGAATGATTATTTTAGAGTATTGACATTGATAATAATGGAGAAGAAACATCAGCATCAAATCAACAAGCAAGAAATCAAGTCGAAATTGAATTTACTATCCGATTATAATCGACAACAATATATTGGTTATTGCGTATAAACATATTTTAAAATTTTTTTTTTCTAAATTCATATATGGGGGTGGCCAGTCTGGGCGGAGGGTACGGATTTTTTAAATATCATTTAACTCCTATAATACATCAGAATAATATAATTTTTTCACCAGTTATAGTACGTATGTAGTGCTAATAATTTATTATTGTCCGGGTTATTATCTTGTCCAAAACCAAAATAATCAAGCGTATTCGTAAAATCTTTTCTGAAATATTTTTTTAATCAAACTAATTGTGAATCGTACTTAGTGTTTGAAACTACAAGAAATACGATTAATATAGTTTTATTCAAATAATCGATCAGAAACTACAAATGACATATCATGATCTGTGATTACGAATAGGATGTTTATGCAATTGAAGATTACAAAGAGCAGAAACAACATGTGCTATTATAGTGATTTTGCCAATATCATCATAAGGTCCTCTATAAACGTTTCCTAAAATAGCATCATTTTTAAGACGTTGGTTAATGTTTTCAATAGCTGCTCTTGCGCTGCAAATAGATTGATTAAAATCTTTATCTTCAGCTGTTAATTCACCACCACGAGGTTTTTTCTTGGAGTAATAACATATTGTTCACCGATATATCCTTTATCAGCAATGATTTGTACATCTTCTTGTGAATGTTCTAATAGACCTGATTCTCTTAGAATCGTAATGTCATGTGCGTTACCTGGATAACATCTGGATACATGTGCTATTCGATGATGAAACTCACAAGCTATTCGTACTTTAAATACATAGTTTTTCGGACTTTTTGCATGATAATAGGCTTTACGCTGTTCAGAATCTTCAGCTTGATAAATTGCAATAAAAGTCGTATCAACTATTAACTTGTGATGTTGTTCAGGTCCATGAATTGTAGTTTCATCATCCATATTATCAGGTAATAAAAACAATTTCGGACAAATACAGGAGTATAAAATATCTCTCACCGCTGATAGAAAGTAATTCACTGTTGATCGACCGAAATTCAATTCTGTTGCTATATATCGTTCAGAATGATAATGTTTCATATACCATAATGTGACAGCAAGTAGATTTATGGGAGACAGATATGGAGTATTTGTACTTGTTGTTTTCTATTCGTACAATATTCTACCAATGATTGTTCACAAAAACTTTATAATTGTCGTATTTATTCGATATCATGTCCTGTATGCTGTATACAGGAATCATTACTAAGACTCCACTTAGACCATGGACGCTGCTCTAAAAATAGAAATTTACATGCACACTAAATGATGAATACTACTTACTCTCAGATGACATTTGAATTTCCTGCATACGTTCACTTTGTGTCTCTTCCTTTAACTCTTGCCGTTCTTGTTCAAGTTCTGGTGCACAATAATTACATCTTCGACGGTGCCGAAAATAGTTATCGTACAAACCAGATGTTTTAAAAGCAGTACACATCCAGACTAGCATTGTTCGACAATTGTTGCAATATGTATGACGTTCATTTATAGTAACTTCACCTTGAGGACAGCTCCATTCAACATGTGAAGAAGAATACATTTTAACGAGATGTAGATAATTGTATAGCTTTAGTGAAAATATTTCAAAATGATCGAAACAGCAAAGAAAAAAAGATAAAGAAGGTCGAAAGTAGAATAGAAATGACGTAATTGAAACAGAGTAACTATACAAAACGAATCACGTATTCAACGAATGGGACATATACACTGATGTGAGAACGAGAGAATATTCGATAGATAAAAGATGTTTTTCTTCATTAACCTCTTTGGCAGTGATTTGTTCATCTTGAAGATGTCCATAGTAGACTTGTAGGTGTATTTGTTTCTATTTGTTATTGATCTAGACTTCGAATGCATTACTGATTACTACGTCTCTTTACTGGAAAATTTATGTAACTGATAAACATGATAGTATATTTCAACAAAACTTTCTATGAAAACGCTTGATTACTTTGTTTTTTGACAAGATAATAACCCGGGCAATAATAAATCATCAGCATTACATATGTACTATAGCTGGTAAAAAAATTATATTATTCTCATGTATTATAGAAGTTAAATGATATAAAAAAAGCCGTACCCTCCGGCCAGACTGACCACCCCCATATGTGTAGTTGAATATTACAGAAGCAAAAATATAAATAAAATCATATCGGTATCATGTAAGAAGGGTGGGTGTGGAGTGTGGGTGTGGGTGTGGGTGTGGGGTGTGGGTGTGGGTGGGTGTGGGTGTGGGGTGTGCGAGTGTGACTGTGAGGGTGTAGATGTAAGTCAACAAAAGAGAAGTATCCACACCCACACCCTCCTTTGAAAAAATATGTGCAAATAAAAATTTATCATATAAAGGAAGAGATTAAATTATGTCCACTAATTCATCAACCTTCCTCTCACACAAACAAGTCATCCGTCAATATATATATATATATATATTCCATGATAGAAGTCGATAGCGATTGTTTATTTCTTTTGAATTCCTTTTGGCAAAATATCCACAGAAAAAAATGCGTTATATCGAGAAAGGGAACGTCTGAATAGGAGAAAAATGCATTCGTAACAAACGAAGCAACTAGACGACCTGATGGAAAGAAAAGAAAAACCATTAATATGTTATGATCCAATCAATTTCTAAATGGAAGAGCACAACTATTTCTGTTACTTTTTCTCACAGAATTTATTTTTTCTTTTGACAAGACATGCATTATTTTTTTGCCCCAAGAGAATATACGTCGATACCATAGCGTGCATCTGAGGTCAAAGTTCATGAGAAAATCGATAAAAAGTCATCAAGCGATTTCATCTTCGTGCTCAGTTCCCTCATTTCTTTCCAACATAACATGCTGCTCAAAATTCTATCTTTTCTTCATTGCTTTTTGTATTTATGTGCATATCATATACCAAGTAAGCCACA